TGGCGAACAACTATAGTGATAACAATACAACTTCTACTAACAACAACATTAATTATCAATTTATTAGTTTTGCTTATTAATCACAATAATCATCATCCTAATCCTGATAATTCATTAATTGATTTTTTTCCTCGATGATAAGCTTACACAGTGGACGTTTGATAAATTCCTATAATTGTGAAACAATTACAAAAGAAAGTTAGATCTAATAACTATGATCACCATTATCTTCTATCGGAAAATACCTTTTATGTAAGTTTTTGTTCATGTTGATATCGTAAAAAAATCATTGCATTTTGTATTCTTTATTTTTTTGTAACCATTCATCCCCGCTTTCTTACAATTAATTGTAAAAAAAAAAACTGGCACTTTTTTTTATTTTTTTAACTTGATTTTTTACCAGTTGATCCATGCCATGTTAATACTAATACAGTAATATTAATCAATCCAATTGAAAAAAATTCCGTGTGGAACAACAAAATATTATAAAAAAACTCGCACTTTATATTCATTTTTTAACTTGATTTATTACCAGTTGATCCACGTTAATATTAACTCAATCCAATTGAAAAAAAATTCCGTGTGGAACAAAATAATTATATATATAAATGATAGTTTTATAGAAAAAAAAAAAAATTTTTTTGCGCACATAAAAAAATCATATATTTTTTTCATACACTTGAAAATATATATAGTCTATTTTATAAACACAGATTTAGGTTAATTGCATCGTTTTAAAATAAAACAATCAAGTTATTTTTTTATCGATAATGGAAAGAGGTCATTATGTAACAAAAAGCTGTTTGGAATGTAAAAAGGCACAGAAGAGGTGTAGTGAGGAGATTCCTTGCAGAAGATGTTTAAATCGTAAGAGCTACTGCAATAAAAATTGGATTCCGGGCACAAGAGGGAGAAAAAAAAAATCAGGTAATGATTTTTCTTTTGTTGATCCGTATTGAAGATCCATCATCCCATCTATTACTATATATTATTATTATCATCATTATTATTGTGTGCGGAATCAAATTTGGTAATTATTTGCAAAAATCTGCCGATAAATAAGTACCAAATTTGATTAACACGCACATTACACGCACTGAATTTTATTATATACCCTGTTTATAAGTCAAGAAATAATTAGTTACAGTCGGGTTTTTTATTTTAAATTTTTTTGTCAAAAAGTTACAAGGTTTAAAAAGCTCACTATTTTGTCGGACACATTAATATATACAAGAACTAATGGGGGCTTTTCAATTAGTGTTAGCTTCCAAAACTAGAGAGTTTCGCAACCGTGCGAAAGTCAAAAGGTTTCGCCATAAGTCGAAACTGGTTTTGATTTTTGACTATTGACTTTCGATTTGGTATTTACATATAACTTTTAATTTTAGTTTGACTTTTGCCTCTTCAAAATAGTTTTGGCGACCACACTATTTTCAATAGAAGCGAACCATCCTCCAAAAAAGGAAATTTTAATCCTGCTCCATATGTAACTCTTCATATAGAACTTTTTGGCTTAAAACCACATCCATCCATTTCTAGTATTCGAAATTCAGAATGCACCATGGTTGGCAAATTGATTGGTCCATTGAGAACTGATGGACTTTGGACTGGTCTATTGCCATTAATAAAATAATAAATATGATCAAAATGCTACACTAATGGATCCAATGGAACACCAATGGACTATCAATGGATCGCATATTTGCCAACCCTGGAGTGCATAGGGCGTGGGTGCTAATCAAATACAGTATAACCCTTGTTTCAACGGACTTCGCTTCAACAAATTATAATTAAATTCGTGTTTCAACGGATTTTAAAAATCTTTGTTACTTATTACACATTATTATTGTGAAAACATAAAAATCCGTTGAAACGCGATTAGTAATTTCGTTTCAACGGATTTTAAATGAAATTTTCTTAAATTAATATGTACTGCCACTCCGTTAAAACGAGGGTTATACTGTACGGGAATTAGTTACAGATAATTTTCATATTTGGTTAGGATTCGTACCCTCCCACTCTAGGACCCGGACAATTATACACAGTGGATCTCAGTTTAGCGGATACTAATTAAAAATCTCGATTTAACAGATAAAGTCAAGAACGGTTCCATAATAACCATAATAATAATAAAAATTTTTCGGTATAACGGATGTTTGGAAATTTTCTCTGATACTAATTGCCTAAAATTATCCGTTAAACTGAGATTCATTGTGTAATTGAGGTCCTAGGTATTACGCTGTAAAACTTTACACATTATCTAATCTGTGATTTACCAAAGTAAAAACCCACAAACATTATTATAAAAAAATTTCTTTTACAGAGATAAATCTTTTGGCACCAAAATCCATAGTACCGATGGTTAGAACTTGAGGTAAAAATGTCCAAAGGTGGGGTAAAAATGATCAACATTTACACATGTTATAGCGCTTAGATGATTCTTTAAAAGAAACATTTTTTATTATGAGATTTGGAGACAAGTCATGTGCTCAATATGATTCAAAACATTTTTGTGCCAAAAACATACTAATACCTCAATTGTATATAATTGTCCGGGATGCAGATCTTTTTTCAATTTTCTCAAAATTTTTATCGTTTCTATTGCAATATTAAAAGGCACTCAAGTGGCTAACAATCAAAATTCCGTACCTGCTACACCTGCCCAACTTTCACCATCACCATCACCACCATCACCACCACCATCACCACCATCACCATCGCCGTCACCGCCACCGCCACTACAACAACACGTACAGTTGATTAATCAAAATATTAAATCTGCACAATCTCTAGCTCGTCCTATTAATGTTAATGTCGATTCTACACAACCTACATCATCATTTTTTCTTCAAAAAATAAACAACCCTATAACTCAACAACGATTAAATCAAATGGCCAAAGCTCAACAACTAATTCAACAACAACAACCACTGATACAAAGATCCAATTTCATACATTTTCTAAATAATAACAATCAAAATACTATGAGTTCTACAAACACACCTGTTGTTTCTCGTAATCATAATGCATTATATGTCAGACCAGTCTTAAATACTCAATTAAATTCTCGTTCAATTATAACTCCTACTCCTTCTGATTTACCAACGGACACACAAAGACAAATTAATCAAACAACAGTTGTTCAACAACCTCAACAGCAATCAACAAATAATAATAATATAAATAATGTTTCCATACCTCAACAAACTCAACCATCGACAATTTCTCAACCAAGCATCAAACAATTAAGTCATAATACTTCTATATCATTAGTGACACCTTCTTCTTCGATTGCTCAAGCTAACAATACATCGATAATAGATGATAATAGCGGTAGTAGTAGTAAGAATAATAACAAAAACAATAATAACAACCAATCAAATGATGGCACACTTCAGATCATTGAAACAGAAGAATTTGCCATTGCTTGCGATGAAATTAGAAAACTTGATGCCCTTACAAACAAGAAACATAAACTTGAAAATGAACAAGAAAATAAATCTTTTGATTCACATGAAAATTTAAATAAAAAAGGAAGGTTGGACAATAATAGTATTGACTTGGGGTATGATAACTCACCTAAAGATTATGATAAGGAGCCATCATTTGAAGAACTCTATGAAAAAACAAGAGATTTGTATAATACAATGAAAGATATTAGAGAAGCAGCCAAGGAAACTGAAGAAAGTCATATTCCTTGTAGAATGTATGTGGAAAATAGCTCTGATCTTGATTGTATTATCAGTGCCTTGTCAAAATCTGCTTGAATGCTTCTACTTGATTGAGAGGACTTATTAACGGATTGTTAATTGGTACTTTGTATTTAGTTGGTTGCTTTTATTTATCTTTCATTTTTTTATTATTGGAAGAAAATTATAAGAACGTATGGGGAAAACGGGTAATTCTATATATTACGATTTCTCTATCACATATATTGCAATACATCGTTGTTTGTTGTTGTTTCACCTGATTGATATAGGCTTGCCCATTAACACTCAGCAAACAAACTTCATTTGTATTGAGTTATGTTCTTGTTATCAGGTACCTGATCTCTAGGTCAATATGTTTTTCACGCGAAAAAAGGATATTGCCTATAGGAAGTATAGGTATCTGATACCTACCTGATAAATGGTAGTTATTGTATGTCTGCCAAAGAAAATTGGCATTCTGAAATTTCAATTACTGCATTTTTAAACTCAGAGTATGGAAGTTATGGCATACCTATGGAAATTATGGCATACCTATGGAAATTATGGCACGTCTGTGGAGATTATGGAACGTCTGTGGAAATTATGGAATGTTTACAAAAAAAAATTTTTTTTAATAGTAATAATAACAATAAATTTTTGGTTTAGTAATTAATAGATAAAGCAAATATTAGTATTATTAATAATAAAGTTCCAATTTTTATATGATATTTTCTTAATTACAGTTTGTTTTCTCTGTTATCATAATTATAAGGTTGGAATCGACTAATTAGTTGACTATTTTAGTCGAGTAAACCTTTTTTTTGAACAACTAATAGTCGACTACTAATACTGCTAATACTAATACTAATACTAATACTAATACTAATACTATGCTAATATTATTATTGTCTGACCAATTACGATTTTCGTGTTTTATCATTCAGAATGGAAAATTTCTATGCGAAAGAGTATCAATACCATCAATATGGTGATGATGACAATAATTTTACATGCGAATGAATAAACACTTCCAATACAAGGTCCAATAGTTCATTGGTTTCAAGTTCCAATGATTTAAGCGGTGGTTCCAGAAGACCTTTAAAAAACGAATCGTAACACATGGAAGCATTTTGAAAAAGTGAAAGATTCAAATGGAAATGAATTCGTAATTTTCAAATTAAAAAAAAAAAACTAAATATTATTATTATTATTATAAAAAAAAATTTAGTCGACTAAAGAAATTTTTGATCAACTAGTAGTTGACTAAGGATTTTTTGGACGATTCCAACCTCTACATAATTATTAGCAGAATCAAGTAATTTGAGTCTTTTGAATGGGTTTATTCGAATAATGTTTATCAATCTTATTGATACCCTAAAAGATAATAATTTTAATAATAACGTGACAAAATATGGAACAGTGTGAGCATTTTGCCACCTTATGTGTTTGTGGTATAATGCATTAATAATAATAATAATAATAAAATACTTACTCCCATCCTTTTGCTACAATTTGAATTGGAATTATCAATAAGTTTATCATTATTAATATTTAATTTGTTAATTATCTCAGAATTTAAATCCATAGATGAACCTTCAATTACTTGAGTAATTTTGCTTGTAGAAACATCATTTTCTTTTGGCAATTCATAAGAATCTTTTAAATCAATAATTACTGCGTTCTTGTTATTAACAGCTTGATTGTTTATTTCATTAATATCAGTTGACTTGTTAGTATCTAATGCTAAAATCTATTGATGATTTTATATTTAATGATTTTTGATTAAAAGTTGGTTTATATATACTGATAATGCTTTCAATGATTTGCATCCATAATTTGTTTTTCAGTTAGTCCACTCTGAAACAGCCATGTCAAACAGGCTACGTCTTGAATGATTAACTATTTTCCGATCTTGAACATCAATCCCAACATCAATACATATAGTTTTTAGATATGATTTGATCTTCTCACTTTTCATCCTACGGTCAAGGTACCAATTATTTATACTTATAGCTTTAAATAAACAAATATTATATCAGTAAATATTTATAAAAAATTTTACATAAATAAATAAATAATTGCTAAATGTGAGGGGTAGTTATATGACCAGTAGACAAAAAGAAAAGATAGGGTATTGTGTTAAGTAAAAATTCAAATAACTAACTATTTGACACGTTCAATAAATAAAATACCTGAATTGGAGGTGACTTGCAAATAAAATTTTTTAGTCTCACATTTTTCTTGCCTCTTACTAATATATAAATTGAAATCATAAAATGGTCCCAAAATACCAGGTTCATCACACGGACATGGAATTTCAAGACAATCAGAGCTTCCCGATAATCCACCTTGATCATTCTTCTGATGAAATTTTGTAAAAATTAACATATTGTTTCTAAATTGGTATTGATCGATTTTTATTAAGAAGCGTTCTCCCCCGCGGGGACAAAACAAAACACAATTCCATACAAATATACGTCTCACAAGACCTTCAGCTGCATCACGGGAAGTTAAACGATGATTAAGCATTTGTTTGATTTCATCAGTTGATAATGATTCAGCAGAATTTTTTTTAATCAAGCCTTTTCTCTTCATATCTCTTAATTTACCTTCAATGGTTTTGTATGATTGTGGGAATTTATGTTTACATTGTTCACCCGTTAAAGCAATATCCCTACCTATAACACTATTTTCTTTTAAATGTCTATCTAATGCAGACATCGCATTTTTTCAACTTATATATTCAGGCCCATCTTGTTTACGAACAACAACTATAAACCGGCAAAGTTCTTTTTCAAGTTGATCTTTGTTTCGAATTTCTTCTATCGGTGTTGTAAATTCATGATTTGATCTGTCATTGGCAGACATATGGAATAATCACGTCAATAAATTGACTAAAAAATCGGAGAATGAATTTAATCATTGGCTTGTGTCACTAACGTAATAAAAGCTGGATTTTCCATTATTGTATGCTCCGCATGCAATAACTACCATTTACAAATTTTAGTATTATATATAAATAGAATTTGTCTTTCATTTTTAATCGTGAACATTGAAATCTGATTAAATGTATGCTTTCTGTTTAGGTAATTATTGACATTTTTTCAGTTTGGGTTTCCTTTTTTGGTTTTAAATTAACTCGAATTATATATATTCGGAGTAATTGTTAATATTAATAATAATGATAAAATAAAATCGATTGTGACAAAAATTCTCATGTCACAATCTGGTACGTCAGATGGCGAATAAAATAACCAAATTCCAAGTAGATTGCATTTAATGAAGAGCATTGTAATTCAAACAGATATGTATGCATGTTTTTGAATGAAATTAAAATTTTGGCAATTTGTATGATTCTGGTAGAATGACGAAAATGAAAAAGGAACAATAAAAAATTTTTCATTTCTGTTTGATGTGACAGAATCTTAATGTGCATTAAATTCATGCGGCAACGCTCGAAGCTTTGTTTCTGATCCATCACAATATATGAAAAAAGCATTTCATAAAGTGTCTTAAACCAATAATGCCATGACAAATCCATTAAATATTTAATTGATTAGTTGATCAGTGAAGCCTGGTGACAGTGTACAATCCGTTACACAATCATATTTTTTTTATTATTAATATATTTCTTTCTTTCTTTTCCAAAGGTTGCAAAGATTGAACGATCCGACGATCTGACAGTATACAATCCGTTACGCGATCTTTTTTTTTATTATTATTAATTATTAATTTTTAGAAAATAGAAATTATTTGTATTTGGTATATTATTATTCAATTTAATTATCAGATCATTTGGAATAGGTTAACAAAATATATTTATAATAATAATTTTTTTTTTTCAATTGGTAAACAAAATTGCGATTGTGTGTTTCATCAGTGTGTCTTCGTGTAATGGATAATATTTTCTTTGTAGACAGATTTAGTTAATTTTGTTCATTTTATAATAAAATAATAATAACTTTAAAGATTATCATCAATATTGATTTTTGAATTAAAAATTAGCCAACTATACTTTTTCATTGAATTCTTCTCCATCATTCGTCCATTCATCCATCCATATATTTACCGATTGATTCATATATATTCTTGTTAGAATCAAAAAGACTTATAAACATAATAATAATAATAAATTAATCTCTAAAATTATCAAAAAATTGTGTATTTACAGTTCACATCAACGACCTTACTGGTTTATAGAGAGAAGTGTATTTATCGAATTTGGTGTAACAAATAAAATATGGGGGTTAATATCCAAGATTTTAATATATAGATTAAATTGTGGTTTGTTTAGAACAAGGCCATTCAAACTTGAAGTCTCGTTTAACATCAACCTCTCCCCCCCCCCTTCTCATTTTTTTAGAAATTTTGAATTTAAACTAATCCTTTGATCGTCAAAAAGCTTCCAAAAAAAGTAATTTTACATATTTTTTATCAAACGTTTAAACGTTTAAATTTTAATGTTTAAATTTTTATCCCATATTTTTTTCAAAAAATGATGTTAAACAGATTTCTAAATTTGAACAGCCCAATGAAATAATAAAAATGAAATTGTGGTTGGAATAATGAAATGTTAAAAAAATAAAATGAAATCATGTTTTATTTAATATAGAATATGAAATATTAAAAAAAATATTAAAAAGACAAAGTGCGTTTAAAACTGCTGTTCTTTAAATACTTGCTGAGCAATTCCAAACTCCAACCCTTTGTGAAACATTTATAAAAATATCCATCATATTCATATTTCTATTTATGATAATAACAGACTATGGTTGATTTTATTGGGTATAAAATAAGTTTTGATATATTGCCAAAATTAGAAAATTTCAGGAAAAATCAAGATTTTTATATGGATGAGTAACGTTGATCATAGCGAAAAAAAAATTTGTGTAAATATAGAGCATAACCACTATAGTGGCAATCATCTAAAGACATCATCAAATATTGCCAATCTTTAAGTGCTGATACTTTATTAAATATGGGCTATTTTACCAAAAACTCTCTATTTTTGCAATATTCTA